GTTATGACTGGGGTGGCGCCGGCCTGGCTACCCTTTATTTTTATATGAGCGCGACCTCCCGCGGGCGGGGCGATTTACTTGGCGGCTACTGGAGAGCCTGGGAGGTACTTTTCTGTCCCCTTGATTTACATTTCTGCTCTTCATTACTTGTACATTGCACACACAGCGCACTTTTACAGTCTGTATTTAGCTTTCAGCATTTCGTACTTACATCCTGCACTGCTTTTCTCAGCTATGGGTCTATGTATACTTCCCAGCATTAGCCCCAGAGTTGGAGGTGGCAGGGCTCCCCATGACCCCATATTCACTAGTGTTCGAGGGCCCGTACCGGCCGAGACCTCGAGAGACCCTCCTTAACCTGCGACAGTACTTTGATACTGTGCGACATTCAGAGGTACCTCAGAACTTTCAGTTCCTTTCATTTTCATCTTTGATTTGCTCTGTATATTCCCGATTTCTGATTGGTTTATGCATTTATCATCCGCAGATCACATGGCAGCCCTGGGTGTCCCTGGGTGATGGTCTCCGACTTCAGTATACCGGAGGGTCAGACATCTCCCAGTATAGGGTCCTGCTTGAAGGGCTGGTTGGCAGGGCCTGGTTCCTAGGGGAACGCTTTCTGCGCCAGGTATGGGGGTATCTCTCTCAGGATCCTCCCGCAGTACCCCCAGCCAGTATGCGGACTGCTGACAGGCTCTCTTACTCGGAGGTAGTCAGCGCTATGCTGGGTAGTGATGCTTTACTATATATTGAGGAGGGGGACTACGCCACTTACCGTCACATATATTTGATGCCTCCATTGACGGGGGCTCGTATTCTGATGATGAGGCCTGCCGGTATGTCATCCTCGGGCCAGGCTCGGGCTCGGGCTGCAGACGCCCCTTCTACTAGCAGGGCTGGTACATCTAGAGGTGGGAGTAGACCGGTTCCTCCGGTCCCGTCGACTTATCCTCATCCCGGATGGCCAGATATGCCGACTGAGTTGATGGCGTGGCAATATGGGGCTATCTCTCCGACTCCGATCCCGCTAGAGCCTCCGATGCCCAGTGATCGATACGCTATTGATCCGGACTCACCGCCGGTATGCTCCACTTTTTTTTATTCATCATTCAGATGTTTAGACACTCTTTTGTTCACTGATGATTATGAGCTCATTTTTGCAGCCATCGCGAGGGTACATGGAGGAGGTGGTTGGACTGGTGGCCACACTCGAGGGCATGGTCCTGCGTAGGGAGGCACAGTTGTCTGTCGCGGGCATTCAGGTACCCTTCAATTTTCTGGCATTTATCATACTTCTGATGACATGCTGATTTCTACTGCATCGATAGACTACTTGTGCAGAGCACATCTGACACACACCCCACTTGTACACTGTATTTACATGCACCCACTTTACGTAACCTTTGCTTGTATCTGCATCTGACGTATACATTTGGACTGATGTATTTGAATTTGAACTCTTTGTTTTTAGATGCCTTCATGGTCCGGTCAGCCGCAGGCCAGGCCACCCGGGCCTCCTTGGGGAGCTGGGCCATCTGGGCCTTTTTAGGGAGTTGGGTCACCCGGGCCTTTTCAGGGGGCGGGGCCATCTCGGCCTTCCCGAGGAGCCGGGTCATCTAGGCCTTTTCGAGGAGCTCGAGGAGGGCCTGTCCGCAGACGCAGGGCTCACGTTGTGGAGGTGGAGCCTGATGAAGAGGAGGAGGATGCTGAGGAGGAGGAGGAGGCTACCGATCGTCAGTCAGATACATCTGCTGAGGAGGGGGGTTCCGGTTTTGGTTCGGGGAACAGAGGCGAGGCTGAGAGGGATCTTGAGGATGACAGTTCCGACTCAGATGATGATGATGGTGCGGAGGTTGTCCCGCAGAAGAGGATGAGGAGTGCTTCTCGTTCCCGTTCCCGAGGACTTTGATGCTGCTATTTCCTGCTTTATTTTTCTTTTTGCTAGTAGTTTGTAGCACTTTGCACATTGTTAGGCAGTTTTATTTTTTTGTAAAACTTGTACCTTTGTTTGTTGTAAAGCATGACGAAATGAAATAGCTTTCGAAAAGGTGTTTGTATTTTAAACTTTAGCATCGTATCGCATCATTTATTTTGCACAAGAATGAAATTGAATGGGAATGTGCATTGTGTAAGCACCAGGTCAGGTAGTGAACCGACGCAACAAACTAAACAACTCAACTTACTAAGATATAACAGAACCTTTAGCAAGCTTACAACTCGATAAACAAAATGCAACAACGCAAATAAACACGACTTTAACAAAGATTGCTTGAACAGAGCGCAATGACTCAAAAACACGAAACACGTCCGCTCGACAAACAACTCGATAAGCAAAACAACAACTCGATAATCAAAACAACAACTCGATAAACAAAACGATAACAGAGTGTACTTCTGACAATCTGGGCATCGGAACGTATCCGAAACGGAGGGAGATGAAGGCCTTTGACTCTCCCGTTGCATGGAAATGCTTGACACTTCCCCTCGAAGAGTAAAACAGGGCCAAGAGGATACATTGCAGCATTGCCGGCTATCCTTGGGAGCCGGCCGGCCAAATTTGTGGAGAGAGACAGCTGGCCGGCCATTTCTGAAAAAGTAAATGGCTGGCCAGCCAGAAAAGGTGGCCGGCCGGCCAGCTATTCCTGCAGCCTCCTGGTTTTTTACACGTGTCCCCGTGAATAGTGTTTTTCCTTCTATAAAAGCCTCAACTTCGGGAACATTCATTTCAACTTAGTTTTAGACAAAGATGGAGGCGTTTCTCGCAGAAAATGTCACATCTTGGATCTCTTCTCTAGATGGCTCGGAAAAGCTGAATTTCCGGGGTTTCGGCTTGAATGCACTATTCACGCTGAGCCGCACTCCGCTACAGCTTCCTTTTCTCCATGCCGCGGCAAGGTTTTGGAATCCAGTGACGCACGTTTTTAGCTTTGGCGGCCAAGAGATGTGTCCCACTTTCGAAGATTTTCAGGTTCTGATGGAGTCTGAGTGCTCTGAAGTGATCTTGCCTCAGCTCCGTTTTGGTCACGCCCAGGCTTTAGGACGGATGTGTGGGCTCACGGCGCATGATGCTCGGTCTCTGATTTGCAGTGGGGAACTGGACATCCTCGGCTTGATCCACCGTTTTTCCGACGCTGGTGACCTCAGCAACCATTATTGGCAGGGTTTTCGGCAACACGCCCTCTGTTTATGTTTGTTGTCTCACTTTCTGCTTTCCTCGGGCTTCGGCGGGGCTAGCATTCGCCTAATTGAAGTCGCCCAAGGTTTGAGAGAAGGAAAGAGCTGTATTGCCATGACCTTGGCCGAGACACTGATGGGTTTAGATTCTGTCTATCGCCGAGAGACTCATGCCCGTTTGACCCTTTCGGGGTAACGGCTCCGATCACATCAATTCCCCAGACTGAAAAAGGCCACGGCGAAGTCATGTTGTACAGTTTTGACGGCGGGATGTTCATGCGGTTTGCATGAATTTGACACTTTTTTTCTCACAAAACCCTTGTCTTACTTTTCTCTCATCGCACATCTCTCTGTTCTTTATTCTCTCATTTTCCATCCCTCCCCTAGGTATGGTTAATGGATAAGTTGCAGGTTGTGGACTCTTGCCCGGCCTATTCAGCGCGAGGCTACTTCTTTCGGCAGCGCCTAGTCAATGCTCTTGATGAACGGTGGTGGTTCGATTGGATGTGCAATTTGTCCGCAGACGGCATTGCTTGGCGTTGCCCTTGGCTCAACCTCCCGGCAATGAGCTATAGTATGTCCCGGCTGATTGGGATCCAATTGATTGGCCTAGCCCACTGCGTATTTTATTTTTCGTTCCGGTTTCTGCGTCAGTTTGGTCATGATCAGACCTACCTACCGGAGGGGATTGAGTACCCAGCTGCTTTCCCGGTCCGGGGTGCACAACTTGCCCGATATGCCACAGCATGGAGGACTAGAGAGCTCCTGGCCCCTGCTTCAACTTTCAGTTGCACTTTGTCCGAACGGGCACGCAAACCGAGGCGATGACAAAATGCGTTGTAATGACATGGAAACATGATATGGGCTTATACCAACATGAGTGAGCCTCAGCCACACTCACATAGGATGCC